GTCCATGGGGATGTTGAGTGTTGGGTCCATGGGGATGAGGGGTGGGGTGTCACGGGGATGTTGAGTGTTGTGTCATGGGAATGTTGAGTGTTGTGTTCATGGGGATGAGGGGTGGGTTGTCCTGGGGATGAGGAGTGGGGATGTTGTGTTGTGTCATGGGGACGTTGAGTGTTGTGTCCATCTGGATGTTGAGTGCTGAGTCCATGGGGATGAGGAGTGTTGTGTCCATGGGGATGTTGAGTGTTGGGTCCATGGGGATGAGGGGTGGGGTGTCACGGGGATGTTGAGTGTTGAGTCCATGGAGAGATTGAGTGTTGAGTCCATGGGGATGAGGGGTGGGGATGTTGAGTGTTGTGTCCATGGGGACATTGAGTGTTGAGTCCATGGGGATGTTGAGTGTTGAGTCCGTGGGGATGAGGAGTGGGAATGTTGAGTGCTGTGTTCATGGGGATGTTGAGTGTTGAGTCCATGGGGATGAGGAGTGGGGACGTTGAGTGTTGAGTTCGTGGGGATGAGGAGTGGGGTATCCATGAGGATGAGGAGTGGGGATGTTGAGTATTGAGTCAATGGGGATGAGGAGTGTTGTGTCCATGGGGACACTGAGTGTTGCATCCATCGGGATGTTGAGTGTTGTGTCCATGGGGACATTGAGTGTTGAGTCCATGGGGAAGACGAGTGGGGACCTTGAGTGTTGTGTTCATGGGGATGAGGGGTAGGGTGTCCTGGGGATGAGGAGTGGGGACATTGAGTGTTGTGTTCGTGGGGATGAGGAGTGGGATATCCATGGGGATGTGGAGTGGGGTGTCCATGGGGATGTTGAGTGTTGAGTCCATGGGGATGAGGAGTGGGGTGTCCATGGGGATGAGGAGTGGGGACGTTGAGCGTTGTGTTCGTGGGGATGAGGATGAGGAGTGTTGTGTCCATGGGAACGATGAGCGGGGTATCTGTGGGGATGTGGAGTGGGGTGCCCATGGGGATGAGCAGTGGGGATGTTGAGTGTTGTGTTCATGAGGATGAGGAGTGGGGTGCCCATGGGGATAGGGTGTGGGGAGGTTGAGTGTTGTGTCCATAGGGACATCGCACAGGGATGTTGAGTGTTGTGTCATGGGGATGAGGGGTGGGATGGCTGTGGGGACAGAATGTGGAGGTTGTGGGTAGATGTCACATCATGTGTCCATGGGGATGAGAAGTGGAGTATCCATGGGGACTTTGCGTGGGGAGGTTGAGTGCTGTGTCCATGGGGACACTGCACAGGGACGTTTTGTGTTGTGTCGCGGGGACGTTCTGTGATGTGTCCATGAGCACATCATGTGGGGACGCTGTGTGTTGTGTCCACGGGGATGTTCTGTGTTGTGTCATGGGGACATTGCAGGGGGACATTGCATGTTGTGTCCATGGGGACATCATGTAGGGACGTTGCGCGTTGTGTCCATGGGGACCTCGCAGGAGGACATTGCGTGTTGTGTCCATGGGGACATCGCGTGTTGTGTCCATAGGGACATTGTGTGTTGTGCCCATTGGGATGTTGCCCAAGGGGATGTTTCCCAACGTGTCCATGGGGACGTCACATGGGGACATCACAAGGGGTGCCCACGGGGCCCTCCCGTGACGCCTGCGTCCCCATCCCCAGCGCCGCCGCGCGCCGCCATCATCCCCGTGGAGACGGGCAACGCGCGGGCGCCCGTGCGCCTCACGTGCCACGTGTGGGGCTTCTACCCCCGCGACGTCACCGTCATCTGGCTGCGCAACGGCGACGTGCTGGGCCCCGGCGAGCACCCGGCCATCGTGGCCACCGCCAACGGCGACTGGACCTACCAGACGCGGGTGACGCTGGCGGTGGCCCCGGCGCCCGGCGACGTCTTCACCTGCTCCGTGCAGCACATCAGCCTCGAGGAGCCCCTGCTGTGCGACTGGAGTGAGTCGGGGGGCACCCGGACGCCGGGGCCCGCGGGGTGCCCGTGGCGGGGGGCGCTCACAGGACGCGGGTGTCACCGCAGGGCCCGGGCTGTCGCTGGCGGAGGCGCTGCAGGTGACGGCGGCCGCCGTGCTGCTGGCGCTGGGGACCGGCGTCTTCGCGGCGGGAGTCGC